GGATCCAGGGCTTGTCCATCAGCGCGGCCCGGTACTTCTGGGTGAAGAAGCCGACGTAGGAGACGAAGGCGGAGATGAGCAGCACGTCCCCGCACAGCGTCTTCTCCTGCGCCTGGAAGGTCTCCACGGACTCGGCCCAGCGCACGTTTTCGGACGCCAGACCCCCGACCAGCCTGGGGGTTGAGGGGCACAGTGGGGCCGGGCGGCTCCGCGCTGCCCCATTTCCCCATTCCGACCTGGTTCTGCTTCACAAATACTTCGAATATGGAGGTCGAGGTTCTGGCTTCTCCAGGCCCCTCTATGCCCTCCGAAGCCCCTTCCTGTCCCCGGGACACCCTGGTGGGCTCTGCAGCCCTTCTGCAGCCACCCTGCACATACCTGTTGGCTAACGTGATGACTCTGTTGGTGGCATCTGCCTCTTGCTGACACTTGATTTTTTCAGCTGTGGCTTTCTCAAACTCTGCTGTGAGAGTGGCCAAGTTGGCATTCAGGTCCTGTAGGGGACAACACGCTTATGGTCACCTCCTGCACAGACCACACGCGATTGCACCGTGTGTGCAAGCCCGGGGCGGCGCCCACGTACCGCGATTTTGTTCTTGATACGGGTGAGCTTGTCCTGCGCCTCGGCCAGCTCCGCGTTGGCCTCCTCCAGCGCCTGCCGCTTGGGCGCCACGTCGCAGTAGACCTCGTAGAAGCGGACGATGTTCAAGCACCAGGAGCAGAGCCCCGCAGCGGCCGTCGACTTGGACAGGATGGACTCGGGGTCGAAATTCGGGTCCGACTGGTAGGGCCTGGAGAGGGAGAGCAGGGCCCCGCATCGCCCGCAGCTCCGGGCGCTCCAGGCAGCCTATTTCCTACATCCCGCATTTAACCGGGACACGTAAAGGAGAGCGGCGAGATCCTGCTGACCCCTCCGTGGTAGGAAATCCCCATGGGGAGGCTGTGGCCATCACTCACTTGAAGGCCTTGAGGCAGGCCTCGGGGATGTGCTCCTTGTCGAACTTCTTCAAGGCATCCAGGAAGGTGTCCACCTTTCCCATCATGATTTTTGCTGCCTTCCAGCTTTTATCCTTGGGGATCCTGCCCCCCGGCGCCGTCAGGATCATCACGGCTGCCGTGACGTTCACCACCGCTTGCGGCGGGGACCCGAAGGACTTCAGCTCCGTCAGGTTGTTCTGCGAAGGGACAAGGTGGTGGCTCCGTGTCCAGTGCGGGGGACTCAGCGCCCATCACCCTGGAAGACCCTGTGTCTCCTACCTTGTTGAGGGCCTCCTACCTTGTTGAGGGTGTTGAGGGCCTCCTGGGCGGCCACCAGCGCTGGCTCCGCTTTCGCCAGGTCGGTCTCGCAGGCGCGCTGCTTCTCTGCCACGTTCTGGGGGACGAGCGAGGCCCGAGGCTGAGCGCTGGCACACGACGTGGCACCAACCCGTTGCAACGGGCGCTGCCTACCGTGTTGATGACCTGGACCTTCAGCTCCTCCTCGTCAGCGATGGCTTTCTCCTTGCTGACCTTCTCCGTTTCGACACCTACCACGTGGATCAGTTTGTCCGCGTCCTCGTTCTTCTGCTTCAGCTCTGCCTCCTGGATGGCCAGTTTGGCCTTCAGGTCGTCGACCTGGATGGCAGGAGACGTAGGAGATGGTGGGAGACGTCTCCTGCCTGGATGGCAGGAGACTGGACCCCGGAGTGGCCCTTGGTGGGCTGCACACCTGGGATGCTGTGCTCTGCAGCTTCATCAGGCCGTTCTCCAGCCGGTCGATCTTGGCCACAAGCTCCTGTCTTTTCTTGGAGAGCAGGTTTTGGTAGAGCTTTATCTGCTCCAGGAAGGTTTTTGGCGTGGTGTAGTTATAGCGTCTCTCCATGGCCAGGTAGGTCTTGGACATCTCATTAACGCTCGTGTGGACGAAGGACATGAACTGGCTGATGGAGGCCTTGACCTCCGGCTGCGTTGGGGACACAAACCGCTCGGGACTCAACGTTGCGGCAGCACAAGGGCTAAAACCCCAGCGTTCGCCTAGGGTGGGCTGCTCGTTTCGGGCACCAGCGCGGCGTGCGGCCGCTCACCTCGATGCCCGCAGTCTCCTCCAGGAACCGGCTGCTGACAGAGACGAGCGCGTCCTGGGGCCACTCGTGGAACCAGTCGATGGCCGTGCAGCTCACCACGGCCGGGAACTTCCTGGCGCGCACGCGCAGCGTGGAGCCCACCGGCGAGAAGCAGAGGATGACCTGGCCGGAGCGCGGCGTGAGCGCAGCCCCGGCTGCACCCCGCTTACCCCACGGAGCTGGGCCATTTTCCAGCCCCCTGGCACATGGGGTCTGTAGGCAAGACAGAAGCACCTGCAAGACCCTGCTTGGGTGAGCCCCTACCTTTAGCTGTCGTCTGACTTTTTCAATAAAGAGTTTCCAGCAGTTTTCCCGTGAGTCTTGCAATCCAAGGAACTTGACTTGCGGCCTCATGGAATTCATGATATTTTCCAGGTCATCGTCCTGGAAGAGCCCCGGGATCTCTCCAGACGCCAGGAAGTCGTTGATGAGGACCAGGAAGGGCTCCTCGGCCACCTGGGAGTCGGTCATCAGGAAGACGGTGGGGATGTTCTTCACGGCGGCCTTGATGTACTGGGAGGCCAGGTCCATCTGGGCAGGAGGAAACCACCAGGCCCCATCTCAGCCGCGCGGAGGCCCCGGCAGCGTGGAGGCTCACAGGGAGTGTGGAGGCCGCGTGGGGCCGGGCCCCTTGGGCTGGCTGCTGTGGCTCTTTGCTGGGTGATGCTGCCTGAGGCAGCAGCAAAACTGCCCGGCAAAGAC